TAATTATTTCAAATTTTAAAAATTGAAAAGCAAAAAACCTCCCAAAGAGTAGAACGAATCACCAGTGCAGTGGGGTGCAAAGAGGTGCTGAGAAGGGTGCAGTGGTCAAGGAGACCTCCCTGGAGTCTCCCCTGACCCCAATCCGGTATTTGCCATCCGCACCTGCCTCACGCTATCCTCTCTCCATCGCAAGCTGGTGAACTGTCCATGGTACTAGCGAAAACCGTCGGCCCCATTAAGCAATAAACCTCATCTCTTCTTCTCCTACCAAGTTTTGGAGCCTCACCCCCCACCCCCCGCCCCGCCGCCATGCATCATCGGCGTCTTCTCTACTGGATCCTGCAAACATTCTGTCATGGCTCCCATCTCTATGCATCACATCCTTTACCCCCGCAGGGAGAACAGAGGCTCCAGAGGGAGGTACATTGCTACAGAAAGCAGGGAGATGCTTCTTTGCACAATTGATGATCGTGCATAAACCCTGAGCTTGCTGCATTTGTAGAGAGGAGTCTAGACAAGCAGATATGGAAAGGGTAACCATGGCTTATCCTGGGGTGGTGAGATGGAGTGATTGCTGTTTTCTTCTCTATGATTAACTGTTTTCTAAAGTTTAATGAAAGGATTACTTTTGAGATAAGGAAAGGATGAACACAGGTTGTTATTCTATCAAATGCCACCAAGGTCCCTGACTGCCCACAGCCTGACTCTAATCTCTTTAAGCCTGTAAGATGGGTCACCAGAGCCTGACTCATCCGACCTCCGACCTCCAGCTGCACCTACCTTGGGGCGGGGTCCCTTGCCTGTCTCCCACCTCCTGTTTGTCCTTTGAGGTCTTGACCTCCCTGAGAAGGCTCCCCGATTGTGAGGGCAATGACAGTCCCCTTCTCTGTTCTCCCCTGGCGTCTCGTCACTGCACGCTGAACTGGCGGGTCAGTGGCCACCTCTCCCATTGGCCCCTCCTTCCCCCCTGTCTCTGCTCTGCCCTCCCATCCCTGCTCCCTCCATGTCATGTATGTCATGTATGGACTCCATCCCTGGGTTCTCTGCATCCTGGTTTTCTGGCAGTTCAGCCAAGGGGGAGCGCTGCAGTGGAAGGGAGGAGAGTGGGGTCAGCACATGTGCCCCAGCTCCCTCCTGTGGAGTCCCCTCAGGCTGGAGGCCCCTCTCCAGGACTCTGGCTGGTCTCTGTACACCCCCTCCTCATCCCAGTGGGCCACCGTGTGCTGCCAGCTCTGCTGTCCCTTGTGGGCCTCGTACATCCTCTCTTGGAAATGGCCCCTTTGTAGGTGTCCCCACCTTGGATTACTCTATTTTGAGGTGTCATCTCTTTCCTGTTGGAACTGTGCCTGATTCACTCTCCAAGGAGGGGACAGGTCTCATTGATGTCTCTGGCTTATCGGTACTCAGTAGGTGCTCTGTCATTGTATGTTGAATGGAAGAAAGAATGAAGCCTCAGGAACATCTGTTCTGGACGGGCTGCTTTCTGTGCTGCGTGGCCTGCCCTGGGGAGGAGCACGTGCCTCACGGCCATGCACTTGGCCTCTGTTCTCAGGCCTAGTTCTTCACGCTTCCCTGTGCCCTTATCATCTGCCATCCTGTCCCCACCAGCCACCCCAAAATGTGCGGGCAGGCTAACCAGGTTCCACAGAGCCACCTGGCCAGCCACCCAAGTGTGTGAGCTATGACGGGATGTGGTTGTTTGCGATGTGGCGTTAGCATGACAATGGCGTGATGGCCCCATGTGCTGTTTGACCTTCCTGGTGACCCGGAGTGGTGGGCGTCAGCATCCCCATTGAGATGCAGAGGGGTCAGCCACTCGCTGTGGTCACATGGTCGTGTGGCAGAAGTGGGTGTGAGCGGCTGCTTGTGGCCTTTGAGCCCCATCACCTGATGAGCGCTGCCCTTAGAGGCCCTCCGGGAATCTGAGCACCGACCCGGCCCCGGGGCAAGTCTCCTCTTGCACATATTCGTCCTGCACTCAGAGCTCAGTCCTGAGCCCACGAGGATGCTGACCTCTTGAACTCAGAGCCTCCACCCCCACTCACTGTGGCTCCCTCATGTAAACCAAACACCATCCCTTCCAGGAAGCCTTCCAGGTTCTTCCCATGCAGGGTCCCCATCCTCCCTTGGGCCTCCCAGGCTGAGCTGGGCCACCTGCCTCTGCTTCAGGGGCCCTGATGTCTGTGAGCTCTTCAAGGGTGGGGGGTGGTGTTGGATCTCTCTCTGGGCTCCAGTAGTGCTGGGCACAGAGCGCCGCACACAGTAGGTGCCTAATCAGTGTGTCTTCTGCTGTGCTGTGTACCTTCGTCAACTCTGCTACGACCTCTCTCAAGCCAGGGCACAGTGACGCATGCATCTGGATCTTGGGATTGGCCTGGCGCCGCCAACGAGCCCGACTGTACACCCTTGGGTGCTCCCGGGAGGGTGTGGACTTCTGGGGCAGGCACTCTTGGCTGCTCGGAACCCGTCCCTGCACCCCCAACTATTGTGTGCTCCTCTCCAGGTCCCTGCCCTCCCCGTGGGCCCCTGCTTGGTGGCAGCGCTTCTGGCGGTGACGTGTCCCTCACACACTTGGCCTGTCTGGCCAGCTGCCCTGCCTACCCAGGGCAGGCACCTCTATTCTCTCTCTGTTCTCCAGTTCCCTATAAATAGCCAATTTTATCTCCTCAGTGACAAGGAGCGGCAGACTGAGGAGCCCGTCCCCCCTTCTGTCCCCTGGCCAGAACTGCCCCATGTTACTGTGTGACCTTGGGCCAGGCGGTCCCCTCTCTGGGTCCCCGCTTCCTGCCCCTACTGCCTCCCTCGCCGGCCACAGGCTCCCCCATGTTCTACTCCCAGGACCCCATGGCAGAGACCCTCCATCGAGGGGGCCAGTCAGTCCCACCAGGTCCCATGGCCCATGCAGAGCGTCGTATGCAGAACCTTAACGGAGTCAGTGGAGCACAGAGGTTGGGACTAGTGGGGCTCAGACCGGCCCTGTCTGTGGTGCCGAGTGGCTCCTGGGACCCATGCTGGGCCCTGTGGGCTGGCACTGACGTCCCACAGTAGCTAAAGCTGGGAGGTAGCTAAAGCTGGAAAGAGCTACTGAGGAAGTGGTGAGCTCCCTGTCACTGGAGGTGTTCAAGCAGAGGCTACTGGTCTTACGGCTGCACCCAGCCCTGAGTCCTTTCCTGCTGACCCACAGATCCTGAAATCCTGCTTCCGTCACTCAGTTCTCCGGGATCCAGTCCCAGCACCCCTCCCCCCACCCCCCGCCAGTGTCTTACTGGGTCTTTGTCAGAAATACAGACTGGGAACAGGTTTGCCTTGGGTGGAGGGTGTGGGGCCAGGGCCTTAGGAAGGAGGGCCTGGGGTGGCCAAGCCAGCGGTGGTGGGGAGATGTAGGTGTGCAGGGGGGCCAGCCCCAGGGCCGTGGGAGGGAGAGGCCAGGGCCAGATGCCCCTCCCTTGCAGGGACCCCGCTTCCCTGGGAGAAAGGGGCTCTGTTGGACCCAGGCTGGCGCTGGGCGAGAGGGCCCAGATACGGCAAGGGGGGACCCGTGGCCTTGGTGGCAAGAATCCTGGCACCAGCCACGGACAGGCGCTTTCTGTGGGTGGGGCGCCAGGATCCAGCCTTTTCTGGAGAGTTCAAACAGCATGGTTCATACATGCACTCAAAGTGCTCACTCGCTCTGAATTTGGGAGCACACCGGGGTGGGCAGGGAGGCCCGTGCAGCCGTCCGTGCGTCCGCTCTGGGCCCAGAGGCTGGCTTGCCTCCGATTCTGACTCACCTGCGAACCCAACTGGCCACCCACCCCCTGGCTCCCCACTCACACAGCTTATGGCCTGTGCACAAACACCTGGATGCACACATCAGGCACACAGCCCTGCCCAGCCCAGCCCTGCAGTTTCTAGCCCGGTGTGGGAGGTTCACCTGGTCCCTGGGCTGGCATCAGCTGCCACTCGCGCTCTCAACGGCCACTCCTGTGGTGACCCTACCTGTAACCCCAGCCCCAACTCAAGGCCAAAATCAGTAAAAACCACCCTAAACAGCACATAAAAGGAACCCCAATCCCTCCCTCCCCAAATCCCACAGTAAAAACCTAGTACAAGTATTTGAGTTTTCCCTTTGTAGATTTTTTTTTTAGTAGACATAGTCTCTTTTTCATTTTACAGCAAACATTGCAAATATAGAAATATTTTTCTGAACGATAGGATGATAGCTTACAGGGGGCACGGGGCCGGAGCACACGCTCGCGGCCCACACCCCTTCCAGCCGCCCCTCCCAGCCACCCCCCCCCCCCCCCCCCCCCCCCCCCCCCCCCCCCAGCCATCCCCAGGCACGGCCTTCCCCACACCCTCGTGCCCTGCGGGGCTCCAGGCAGGTCCTGGCGGGCCGCCAGCGTTCGCTCTGCCTCTCCTTGGTGGCCTCTGGAGTCAGCAGCCAAGAGACGGACTGAGGAGAGAGCCCACAGCAAACCACAGACAGAGGCGGTCGTGGGAGGTGCCGGGTGGCTGAGCCGGCCACACCCCCACGTCTGGTGTTTTATGTCTTTTTAAGAGAACTTTACTTTTATTATTTTTTCTTAAAAAAGGGAAGAAAGTAAAGACGGACAGGAAGATAAAGAAGGCAGAGAAGCCTCAAAGAGGAAAGATAATGAAAAAAATTCCCCTCCCCTACCCCCAGACACAGTTTTCTGAAGTCCCTTGTGTGTGTGTCTGTGTGCATGTGTGTCTATGTACATGTGTGTCTGCATGTAGTGTGCACATGTGGTGCATGTGTGTCTAAGTGTGCGCGCATGTGTGCATGTGTCTATGTACATGTGTGCATGTGCGTGCACGTGTGTACTGTGTGTGCATGTGTGCATGTCTATGTACGTATGTGCATGTGCGTGTCTGTGTGCACATGTGTGTGGCGCTGCATGGGAGACTCTGGGTTACAAAGAGCTGCAGTGGGTCTTGTGTCCTTTTTGGTCCCGTGGAGGCGCAAGTCCGGGCGGGGGGCGGGGCGGCCCCAGGGCTCAGGACTTGTGCTGGGCCGACACGCCCTTCCAGTAGTCCAGGATGTCGTGCAGGTCCTCGTCTTTGGCGAACTGCACCTTCTTGCGCAGGGCGTGGCCGGCGGCCATGAACTCCTCGTGGTCCTTGTGGCGCCGGCGGCCGAGTCTGAAGCGCTCCCAGATGCTCTGGGAGGCCCTGCAGGTGTACTCAGGGCTGGAGGAGTAGCTCAGGTTGTGGTACTGTGGGGACAGCTGCGAGTAGGCCAGGTCGCGGGGCCGCGACCGGGTCAGTGGCTCCAGGATGGACGCCTTGCGGCCGCCCAGGCTGTCATGGGGTGGGGGTGGGGGGGGTGCGGGTGGCTCAGCGGGGTGGGAGCCGGGGTATGAGTGCCGGTGCTCGCCGTAGTGGCGGCCCTTCTCGGCCTCGGCACGCAGCACGGCGGCCGCAGGCGTCACAGTGAGGATGGCGTCGGGCGCTGGGGAGCTCTTCTCAATGTACTTGGCCTCGGCAGACGCGGCCTTGTGTGAGCCAGTGGCCTCAGCGCGGAAGGCCCGCGGGCTGCGCACGGAGCCACCAGTCGAGACGCCGGCGCGTGGGGGCCCGGGAGCCGCCTCCACACTGTGGTGCCGCTGCAGGCCGTGGCTGAAGGCGTCCTTGTAGACAGGGGCCAGGAAGCCGTGCTTGGCGGCCAGGGGCTCCGACAGCAGCACCAGCTGCGGCTCGGCCGTGGACACGGCTCCGGACTTGCCGCCCTGGAAGGAGGTGGCCTCAGACTTGAGTGCGTCGATGCAGTTGTTGATGATCTGGTTGACCTTGTCCACCTCCTTGGCAATGGTGGAGATCTCGGCCACGGAGCTCTGGCTGTCAGGGCCGGGCCGGCCCAGCTCACAGTCCCTGCGCTCAGCCTGCTCACCCGTGCGCACCTCCATGTAGTTGCCCTTGCTGGCCTTGGGCGTGTCGGCGCTCTCGGCCAGCTTGTACTGCTCCACGTCGCTGGCAGCCGTTGGCAGGTATGGGATGCGGGTCACAGCCTCGGGGCCCAGCAGTGGGCCCTGGGACAGTGGGGCCAGGCCAGGCGCCTCCATCTCGGGTCCATACTTGAGCTCGATGATGGTCTTCTTGAGGCCACCGGCTGCGGCCGCCTTCTTGTGCTTCTCATCCTGTCGCCGCCGCCGGCGCAGGCAGTAGTAAACGGCACCGAGCACCACCACCATGCCAAAAAGGCAGCCCAGGATGGTCATGATGTAGTGGGTGGCCGTGGATGGGCTGGGCACGGGGCCCGGCGGGCTGGGCGGCCGGGGCAGGCAGATGGTGAGGCAGGTGTGGTTGTGGTGCAGCCCCGAGCTGGTAGACACCACGCAGTAGGTGTAGTTGGTGAGCGCATGCAGGTTGCTCAGGCGGACCTCCTCCTGGGGCTTGGTCAGCCGGGACACGGTGGATGAGCGGCTGTTGTTGAAGTGCTCCAGCGTGTACATGCGGGTGAATGGGCTGGGCAGCTGCACCGTGATGGTGGCCGAGTTCTGCGTCAGCTGCTTGACCTTCATGAGTGGCCGGCCCTCGGCCTGGGGGGCCAGTGTGGGCAAGGCCACCAGCGGCGTGGTGCCGTCTCCAGAGAAGCACTCCTCATCGGCACAGGGCGCCTCGCTGGGCTCCGGCGGCGGTGGTGGGGGGGGCGGGGAGCGGCCGGGCGGCGGGCGGCCGGGCGGCGGGTGGGGCTCGTCCACGTAGGAGCCATCAGTGCACACGGACTGCAGCTTGCCGAGAATGCTGCGGTGGCCGTGGCGGCCCTGGCCCAGGAGAAAGTAGCCGGAGTAGAGTGGTGGCGATTCGCACTGCATGCGGTCGTAGGCATGCGTGGCGTTGGAGAAGGCAGCCAGCCAGCGCAGGAAGCCCAGGAGCTCACACGAGCAATAGAAGGGGTTGCTGTACAGCTCACACACGGACAGCCTGGCCAGGCCCGCGAAGGTGGCACCGTGCAGCCGCTGGATGCGGTTCATGGACAGGTCGATGTTGACGATGTTGGGGCACTCCCAGAAGGCGCTGGGTGTGACCACCTCGATGAGGTTGGCCTGCAGGTACAGGTACTCGAGCTTGCCCAGGCCGCGCAGCACGCCCTCCGTCAAGTTGCGCAGGCGGTTGTAGCCGAGCTGCAGCACCTGCAGGTTGAACTGGCCGGCGAAGGCGCCGTCCTCAATGTAGGCGATCTCGTTCTTGGTGAGGTTGAGGTACGTGAGGTTGCCAAAGCGGCTGAGTGCGGCGTACTGCACGCCGCGGATGCGGTTCTCATTCAGCCGCAGGTCCACGATGGTGCTGTTGATCTGCTGCGGGATGGCCTCATACGGCGGCTGGTTCTGGCTGCAGATGGCCAGCCACACGAAGCCCTTGTCGCCCTCGATCAGCCAGCAGTCGCCACGGGCCAGCCCGCCCGCATGCAGCAGGGTGGCGGCCGCCACGCATACCCACAGCGCACCCCACCAGCACCTGGCCATGGGGACTGCCGTCGCGGGAGCCCCTGCTCCGCCTGCCCAGGGGGACCTGGTGGGAGGCTGGGCGCCAGCCCCTGGAGGGATAAGGATGGGGGTGGGGGCGGGAGGGGAGGCTGCCTGTGTTCTCAGGGGTGTCCTGTCCCAGACCGCATGGTGGCGCCACGTGTGCACTCCCTCACTGCCGGAGAGCCCGGGTCATCCACCTGCGTCCTGCTGAGGTTGCGGCCGCCTCCCCCATTGGCCTGGGTGTCCCGACAGCTCCACGGTCCTGTGGCAAGAGAGAAGAGAGAGCAGTCAGGAGAGGCCGTGTGCCATGGCCGCAGGAGGCCCAGGGGTCAGATGTGGCCCCGTGCCAGGCTTGGCTGAGCCGCCAGGTAAAACAAGGAGGTGCATTTGGGGAGCAACGAGAAGCATCCCCAGTTCTGAGCTTCCCACACCTCCCCACCCTGTACCCGCTTGGCCAGGCTCAAAGTTAGGGTGGCCCCGGAGAATCAAGAACCCTGTGCTTGGCTCAGTTCCACCCTCGTGACAGAGAGAAGACAGGGACATTCTCCCCTGAGGAACCAGCCACAGCACTCACAGCCGCCTGCAGGGGGTGCTCTGAGCCCTGGCCCCAGGGGCCTGAGCTGGCAGGGCACAAATCCTTCCAGAGCCCGCAGGTCCCCTCCGGCTCCCCCCCAGGGAGATGCAGGGAGGCAGCCAGCACCACCCAGACACCCAGAATAGCTAAGTTCCGAGGCTAAGCCCTCCTGAGGTGGGCCCAGGCACATCAGAGCCCCTCCGGTCCTCCAGATTAGCCAGCTGGAACTTTCTGCCTGGCTCTGGGGACCTAAGTCTGTCACCACCCTGTGTGGGAAGATCCTGGCAGAAAGGCCCGGAAGGAGGGAGTGACTCTGCCAAGAACCCCCAAGCCCCCTCCTCAGACTCAGGCAAGGACCGACCCCTCCCACCTCCACCAACCAGCTCCCAAGGCACGACGTGGTGTGACGTGGCTGTGCCTCCAGACCCTGCGCTTCCCCAGGATGGGGCTTCACCCTGTCTCCGGCAGGGACACTGGACATGGTCCCCGCCCGCAGGACGACCTCCGGTCTGTGGGCGTCCCTCACCCGCCCCTCGTATTTCTCCTGCAGGACAGACGAATGGGTATGTGTTTCCTTGTTAATACTTGGATTTACAGCCGGCCTCAGTAACGGCTCTGTGGCCTGGCCGGTGGCCAGCTGAGTGTATTTCACTGATATTGACGTTTGCAACTAGTCTGCACTGAGGCAGTTTAAATTAGGAGAAAAAAATATAATGATGTGAAATGGATTTTCCTTCCCTTTGGAAACTTCATAAAGAACAGTTCTGATCTGACTCCTGGGGAAGAGTTATTTCTGATTTGCAGACGGGGTGGGACCCGAGGACAGGTCCTGGGGGGCCGAGGTGGAGCCCATCCCTGGTTTGGCCCTGTGGCTGTGTGACACCCTGCAAACCAGTGGGCCTCTCTGGGCTGAATTGGAAATGGCTTCAGGGTCCTGGCAGGCCATGTAATCCTCCTTTGGGGAGGGAGACTATCAGGGGTCGCTGGGGTCCCTGTGTGGTCTGGCCTGTGACCTCCAACGTGCCACCCCACAGGGACCCCCTGGAGCATGTCCCCATCATGCAGTGGTGGCCTGCCTGTGCGGGCCACCCCTCCACCAGGGGACCCACCCCCCTGACCTGCAAGTGCATTGGAGGCACAGGGTGGTGGGGGGTGGTGGCAGAGGGGGACGCGTGCTTCAGCGTGGCTCCCACCTCGGGAAGCAGGTAGGTGCGTAGGCCTGTCTAGGAAGTGTGGCGCCTCAGCAATGCTGATTGTAATCACCTTTAATCTCTTGCTCAAAATAACCCAAAGTCAAGTTAAGGAGGATTACAGGGCCTGAAGAAGCCTTATCGCAGGCAGGCGCCTGGGGAGGAGGGACAGGGTCCCCCAGGGGACCAGGCTCTCCCTGCCCCCCTCTCAGGGGTGCCTGGGGGCCTGGAGAGCTGCGCGCAGACGTGGGTCTGTGTGCGTGTGGGGCTTGTACACAGGCTCCCACATGCGTGTGCTGCGCTCTGTCCTATGTCCAGGCGTGCACGTGCCAGGGTCAGTTATACACACACAGGCGCGCGCATTGGGACTCACGTTATGGCATGTCCATGTGGACATGACCCCGTGGAAGTGTGCGCACACGTGTGCCGGGACCCAAGAGGCTGGCCCTGCCTTTACCACCACCACCATTGCAGCCTAAAGATCTGCCACCTTGTGAGTGGCGAGTGTTCTGGGCACCAGTCTCGCCTCCCCTGTGCACTCCCCACACTCTGAAGCCTCCTCCATCAGGCTGGCCTATGTGATGAGGGGGGCAGGGCCCTGGGGGGGGGCATGTCCCCCCTGCCCTGGAGCCTGTGGGGGATGGGGCATCCTCTCCCACCCCACCTGGCCTCAGGTGCACGGACATGCTAGGAGTGGGCTGTGGCCTTGGTGGCCGGTCCCCTTGGCCCCTTTCATAGCTCCCGGGACCTGGCCTCAGAGGAACCCCAACAATCTTCTGCACGACTCACTCTGCAGATGGGAAACTGAGGCCAAAGCCATGTGGTGAGCAGCCCCATCCTCCTCCCTGGGGCTGGGGGATGGGCATCAGCTCCAGCAAGTGCCTGGTGCCCCAGGGAGACCTCTTGGCTGCAGGGACTGAGCTCCCCGGGGAGGAGGTAACCCCAGGCTGAGGGGGCAGGATGCCGCCCATGGGCCTCTGGAAGTGGCCTGAGTGACCTTTCTAGAAGAGTCCTGCTGGGCTCCCACGCCATCCCCAGGAATGCCTTTTCTCCTGGGACTCATGTGTTTGTCCATTAAGCATCTGTGATGGGCCCATCACTGCTCCTGCCTTCACCCCTAATTTCTCACATACACACCTGTCCTCTGCGCCCGGCAAGTGACTCAAATAAATGTAACCAGGACACCTGCTGAGGGTCTGCCCAGCTGGTGGAGTGTGCAGACCTGTGTCACACCAGCCCCCACTGGTCACCTGCCCCCTTGTCCCTGACATGCAGCACAGGCCAGTACCCCCGCACCCCCAAGATCCTCTGCTGGGCTGCCTCCTCCCACAGCATCAGCACCCCTCCCTCCCCACCCTCCCTGCCAGCTGAAGGTGCCACGGAACTTTCTCTGTGCTGTCCAACTGGCCCACCCTGGCCACATGTGGCTGCTGGGTGTTAGAAATGTGACTAGTGGCTGTCATACCGAACAGCATAGTTCTAGAAACTTCCATAGAAACAACTTGACCTGAGTATCCTCCAGCCACTGCTCCGTCTCCTTCCCCTCCACAGCTGATGTTCTTGAAAGAGCCACCAGTGTTTTCTTTCCCCAAATCCTCACCTTCTTGGGCTTCCTCGGCTGGAAAGTGGGAGCCGTCCCCACACTCCGCCGTGCCCCGCGTCACTGGGGCCACACCGCCCGAGCCTCCTCTGAGCTGCTCGTGCTGACCCGTCCAGTGGGACCAGAGATGCACACATTTGATGTCCTCACTTTGCAAAACTCCAACCTGATGCCCAGCGGTTTTCCCATAGGCACTCCTGACCTGGACAGACAGACACTCTGAGCACACTGCCCAGGGCGCTTGTTGGACACCCAGATTCGTCAGGATGGCCCCTCAGAGGCCCCATGACTATGACCCCACACCCCAGAGGAAGAGGCGGGCCAGAGACACCATAGGGCAGACCCAGGCTCGAGTCTGGCCCTGCCGGGGTCACTGCTCAGCTTGCTTGTGTCCTCAGTCAGTGGGCGTGGACTCTGGGGACAGCCTGGGGCCTCCTCGTGTCACAGCTGGTAGGGAGCGGGGCACCCCCGCATCGACCAGACACCTCCCAGATCCAGTCATTGTTCTAAGTGGTTGGGGTCCATTTCCACACACGTCTGTGTGCAAATGGCTGTGTGTGTCCAAGCACCTATAAGTGCTTCCACACCCATTTGCACACTTGTGTGCTTGTCCTGCACGGGTGTGTTCACATGTACTTGTGGGGTGACGGTGTCCTTGGGGCCGGGGGTCACTGAGGCAGGCGGCCTGCAATCACTAGAGACCTGGGGGGCAGCAGTGGAGAGATGGTACGGCCCAGAAAGGGGCCTCCGCCCCCCCACCATCAGCACCATGACAGCAGCGACGTGTCACTTTCAGAACCATCACGTCATTAAGCCATGTCATGGTGCTACAAGGTGACAGGGACATGGTGGCCCAGGAGAAAGGACTTGCCAAGGAGCCTCACCTAGTTAGGAGGCACAAGCCACCTGTGCCACTCAGCCACCAACTCCATAGCCACCTGTCGAGGGTCCGCCCAATGCTCCCGGGGCCCCCGCACCAGGACAGCCTCGCCTCCCAAGGACGGCAGGGTGGCCAGCATTCCCGGGGGCATCACGGAAGCCAGAGACTAGAGACTTGGGGGGCTGGGTTCCACCGGAAATGTGCCAGCTGCCCGGCTGCTCTGGAGGCTGGGAAGGGGTGAGGGGGTACCCTGGGGGACCCCACCATTGACTTCTGGTGAAGAGCCCTGGTCGGCGCACCCCGAGCGGGCAAACTCACATGGGAGGGAGCTGGGGGGCTGCAGGCGGGGGCCTGTCCTGCATGAGAAGGCGCTGGTGGGGAGGTGGGAGGGAGCAAGCATGGAAAGGGCTGTGGGGAGGAAAGCTTCCTGCCCAATGGGCAGAGGGCAGGTCTCTTGGCAGCTCCGCGTGGGGCCCAAACCCCAGAACCTGCAGGAGCTATCAGACATGAGCAGAGTTGATGCGCGTGCACATCTGGTCCACCCCCGCCTCTCTGGTTACGACTGGGCAGCAGCAGAGCCCTGGCGTCACATCCCCATCCTGCACCCACTCCCTTCCTCCCCAGCAGGGGGGATGCACCAGGCACAGGGCACTTAGGGACAGTCCGGGCCCTGAGGCAGTCATGAGCCAGTGGGGGACCTGCAGGGAATGTGACAGGGGCCTGAGTGGTGGCAGGAAGTTGCTGTGAAACTGTAGCCCATCAGACAAGGCTTCCACAATGGGATGCTGTTTGATGGGTCCTAGCAGATGTGTAGGAGTTTGTTAGGGAAAGAGGAGGATAACGGGTATCCAAGGCAGAGAGGGTGGAGGCACAGAGCACGTGTGCTCAGAGAACAGTCCCCTCCGGGGGAGTAGGCAGTGACAGGCAGGCGAGACCATGGCAGGGACGGGGTGGCAGGCGTCCCCGGGACCAGAGAGGAGGGGCCGAGCAGCAGGACACCCTCATGCGCGCTGCCCCC